TCTGTACAAATCTAAACAGAGATCTTTGTCATGTAATTAGCTGTTGAATTCACAGAAGGGTTCTAGGGGATCTTCTTTGCTTTACAGTCAAGAAAGGAAAGGAACCTCTAACACACCCCAGCACAGGTTCTCTGACACCTTGCTAAGAAAAGGTCTACAGTAGGAGTCAGAAGTCAACTCACTGTGAAATGAAACACTGGTGAGCACCGCACTGTCTCCATGACAAGCTGGCATCCTTATTTTGCTGAGCCATGTCAGATATATGGTGGCTTAGGTGTCAGCAATACAAAAGGACCATTTGGGTCTCATTCATCACAAAAAATGTTCCCCAAATTGACTTTAAAAGAAGTCCCACTAAACCACCTTTAAACCCCATTTAAGACCATGGTTTATACTGGAGTTAGCCGATTTTTTGTGGACATGCTTCCAATCTGATGAAGAGGGTCTGGAAGCCAATTTGTGAAGACCAATTCAAGCCCCCTTGAGTGTGGCCGACAGAACTTGAACCAGTCCCAAAACGGTGTAAGCTGAACTACTCATTAAACCAGATCCATTTCTTTGGAGAGGAGAAATTTCCTCACTACAGCGTTGACTGTGGGGAAATGCTTTAAACTCAGAAGTAATGTAGTGGTGGGCTGGACAAAGGGACTGAAACCCAACATCAGCCAGTCACAGGAAATTAGCTAACGGATTGTGTTAGGTTGCACCCCAAAAGGCACCAGCCTGCAGCTGCTGCAACAGATGAGGGAGGCTGAGGCCACCTATGCCTTTTGCTTTTTTTCAAAGGTGGGAAGTAAAACACCACCATTTAAAATGAAAGCTCAGATCTCCAAAGCTGCCTGCATGTATGAGGACCCCGTTGGGCTCCTACCTCCCCTGTATCCCTTTGATCATCTTAACCATGAGTGGAGCACATAAACCTGAGCTGCTTGTCTGCTCCCAGGCTCTGCGACGTGCGACAGCGCAGCCAGGTAAGGCAGTGGGAGGGGTTGTCCATTCTGGGCACAAGAGAAGGCAAGGTAAGAAGAAGCCAAAGGCCAAGAAGATTCCTGTGGGCAAATTTCCATTCCATGGCTGAAGGCGTGAAAATGCAGAAAGCACAAGGAGAAGAGTGGCAGAAGACAAGGTTGACTAGAGGACGACTCTGTATTTGTAATCTCTTAAATGATTAATTTGAGCCAAAAGTTACCCTGCAATTTGAGAAGAAAAATAGGGACAGACTGAGAGGAGACCTGGTGGATGGATGTTGTGCCTAGCTGTGCAATGAAAGATAAAGGACAGATGATGGTGCAGCTTTATCAGCACAAATTATTTCCAATCACAGAAGCCACAAACAAATGAGTTACGTGGCTCCTCCTGAACCCCTGCCAAGCAAAACTGCCCAGCCTCTGCTGAGCACCAGTGTAATTGCGGGGAAAAAAACAGAACAAAACATTTATCTGGCAAGTGCTTTCAAAAAGGGAAAAGGGCTGTTGGGAGCTGCTCAAGGGGCTGGAGATGGTTCCAGAGGGGACAGAGCAGCCATCAGAGCATATAGAAGGCAGGCGGGGATTTTTAATAAAATGCAGTTTATCGCATGGTGATTACCACCTCCTATTTATACCATATGAGATCATGAAAAACATGGCACATGTTTCCTTACTGCTGGAAACACAAAGTCAACAGAGCAACTATGTGATAAATTGGCTCTTTTCATGTGCTTCTACTTTGTCTTTCTAAACCTCTATTTCCAAACATCTGTCACTTACAAAAAGCGAGTGATAAAAATCTGCTAAAAAATAATTTACGTGCCCCCCCCCCAAAAAAAAACCAAAAAAAACCAGCCCCATGGTAGATTAGAATTCTGAGTCCAAATTCCAGGGCTGTTCCATTTAACCTGCATATCTTCCTTGTTCACAAGGCAGCACAGACACGCAAAGTATGTAATACATAAGAAAGCGGACTTCAGGGTCTCCAGAAAATGCTTCATCTGCTCCTAACCTTTGCATATTACACATAACAGGCATTACAGACACAACGTGCTAAGACATAAAGTATTTCAGGTAAGCTTTTATGCCTTAAAGAGCACGCCTCTCCTCATTCCCCCTCAAGCATGGTTTGAAGGTGAAAGGCTTAGAGAGAGGAAATACCACATTATTTCCATGGCTAAGATTCTGAAGTCGAATTTGGGATAATATGGTAAAAGACTTCATTAGCACTCTCTCAGAATGACTTGTATAACTTGCTTGTAGCTTTGCCAGTTATGAGTAATCACTGAGATACACCAACACCACCTTTGTACCACATTCCTTTCACACGCTGCCTGATGTCTACCGGACTTGGGCTTCTTGTAAGCAATCCTGCTGTCTTCAGCAAAGCACGAGGCAAGTCAATGCAGCCTGTGAGATGTCACACCTTTCACCCACTCCTCACTTCATGGAAATTCTCCTTTTCAGTTGTGATGCTCTATGACTGCTCTGAGCATAGCAGATCTGCAGCGTGGCTGCTTAGCAAAATCTTTTGTCTCTAATCTTTTTCTTATGAACCCAATGGTTAACCATCTCCCCCTGACAGCACAAAACTAAATAAAGATAATTCATACTGGGTGGCACCCCAATACAGCATCTGTGTGGATACAGCTCCACAATCATTAAAACCAGGTCTACACATTGCTGTATCACCCAGGAGTACAGATTTGATCGGGATCAGGCCAAGGCACATGATCATGCTTCTGCTGAATGAGCCAGAGCGCGCAATATGGAGCCAACGCCAATCTTACACTGGCTGTATGCCAGGCACAAGGGTGCAGACGATACCTGATCTGGCTGGAGTTGTGTACAGTGACACCTGATCCAGCATAAAGTCTGCTAGTAAAAAGTTAACCTGTCAAAAACTCCTTGAATTAACTCAAGCAGGCAGAGTGAATGAATACCACCAGGTCAGCGCTTCACATCACGCGGCCACCCCATTTTTGAGCCAATAATAGGAACTGTACTGCTTGCTTTCCTGTGGTGCCAAACCACAGCCTGATGTCAAGAGTGATGCTTATATGCACAGGGATCTCATTGCAGGACCAGGGCCTCAGAGCCCTTCAACTTGCCTTGCCTCCCACTTACAGTTAGAAGGGAAATAAAAAAGCAGAGCGAAATCTAAGCATTTAACCTCTAAGTAGTCAAGAGTCTACAAATGCAGAATCTGTACATGAAGATGGCGCCACGGATGTTTCTGTAGCAGATAAATTTAGATTATGATTAAAATAGAGCCTATTCCTTCAGGTTAATGAAAACCTCACTACAGAAAACACATCAGTAACGACGATGATTTTGATAGAATTTTAGTAATCCAAACTGTATTAAAAATGCACACTGTTGTGTTGAACAAATGTGAACATTATTTTGGCACAGAAAGGCAGTCCTGCTCTTTGAAACTGTTTAGAAAAGCCTTACCTGATCTCTGGTAGAACTTAATCCATTTTTAACACTGCTGCAACACTTCCCAGTGTTGAAACATGCACAGTTACCATTACACAAGGCTACAGACACATAGAAAATGGGAATCTCAAACATTCTGTCTTGAAATTGCTGGAAATCAATGGAAATTGCCTGGTTTACATGAGTATTTCAGCTGTTTTCAGAGCTAGTTAAATGAGCCCATTAGCTGAAAGCCATTTTCAGATTTTTTTCCATTTTCCATTGCAGAGTCCCTAAAATGGTCCGCCCGGAGGTCTAGCAACCTTGATGGTTACCCACATATGCAAGCTATCTACAGCCATGCTTCTATCTCTCCGGCAGGGATGCCTAGACAGGATGTTCCCAAATACTGGTCCTCAGGGCCATCGCATGGTCTAAAGGCCAAGCCACAGATCACAACAGCCTGCACTCTGAAGGGCACAAGCAAGGCCACAGCCTGCTTTCCGCCTCTCCTACTGTGCAGCATCATGAGCCAGTGTTCCTCCTCGCCGGGCTCCCCAGACTGCTGCGGGGTTTGTTCACCAGCCGGCCCTTCGCAAACCCCAACACCACCATGGGTTCTTGGGGAGTGGGTGAGGCAGGAAGCGTGAAGCGGGGTGCCCCGGCTGGACCGTGGTGCGGGGCTGGCTGACGCGGGGCATCCCTCGCCCAGGAGGGGACGAGGCGTCCGAGGGTGACAAGGCGGCGCCCAACCACGGCTTCTCTACACCGACAGGGCGGGAAGGGCGCTAGCTACGTGCTCCGGCGGCGCTCGGTGGGTGCCTTGGGCGGAGGCCTGCTCTCTGCAGGCAGCCCCGGCGGGCAGCGGCGTGCCGCCGCGGCGCAGCAACGGTTAACGGCGGAGCGCAGCGAATAGGCCGCGCTGTTTCCAGGGCGACGGCTCGGAGTGTTCCGGATCGTACCATTGCGCAAGCGGCGCGGGGGGGGTGACAAGGGGGAACGACGGGGGAAGTGGCGCTGCCGCCGCCAGGCCCGGCCCCGCGCCGCCTCGTCTCTCTCTCCCCCTCCCTCCCTCCCTCCCTCCTCCTTCCCCCCCCGCCTCGCCGCGCCTCCTCCCCCTCCCGCCCGGCCGGAGCGCGGCGCCGGGGCCCAGCAGCGAGCGGCGCGCGGCGGAGCGGAGCAGGCGGCCGGCGGCGGCCGGGCCTGGAGCGGAGGAGTCGGTACCGGCGGCGGGGCGGGCCGGGCCGGGCCGGGCCGGCGCGACTCCCTGCCCTCGCTGGCTTCTCGCCGCAGCGGGATGTGGGCGGCCCGGGGCCGCGGGCTGTGAGCAGCGGCAGCGCGGAGACAAAGGGAGGCGGTGGGGCTCGGCGGCCGGCACCAGGGACGGAGAGCAGGGACCGCCACCGCCGCCGGGGCGCACCCGCCCGCCTGCCGGGAGGCGGCACGATGCGGCACGGGGCGGCGCGGCGGCAGCAGCGCGGCGGCAACAGCGGGGCGGCCCGCCTGGCGCGGCGGTAGAAGCAGCGGCGGCCGCAGGGCTTGGGGCCGGGCCGGCGGTCGCGCAGCAGCGTCTCCCGCGGGCCGGGCCGGGCCGCGCCGCCCGGACCGCGCCGGCGATGTGAGGGGCGGCGGCGGCGAGGAGGAGCGCGGTACGGCGCGGAGCAGAGCGGAAGGCGGGCGGGCCCCGAACGGAAGCGGGCCGGGCCCGGCGGCGAGGAGGAGCGCGGCGCCGGCGGGGGCGGCCGGGCGCGGGCGTGCGATGGAAACGCACATCTCGTGCCTGTTCCCCGAGCTGCTGGCCATGATCTTCGGGTACCTGGAGGTGCGGGACAAGGGCCGCGCGGCGCAGGTGTGCACGGCCTGGCGGGACGCCGCCTACCACCGCTCGGTGTGGCGGGGCGTGGAGGCCAAGCTGCACCTGCGCCGCGCCAACCCCTCGCTCTTCCCCAGCCTGGCGGCGCGGGGCATCCGGCGGGTGCAGATCCTGTCGCTGCGGCGCAGCCTGAGCTACGTGATCCAGGGCATGGCGGACATCGAGAGCCTCAACCTCAGCGGCTGCTACAACCTCACCGACAACGGGCTGGGCCACGCCTTCGTGGCGGAGATCAGCTCCCTGCGCTCGCTCAACCTGAGCCTCTGCAAGCAGATCACGGACAGCAGCCTGGGACGCATCGCCCAGTACCTCAAGGGCCTCGAGGTGCTCGAGCTGGGGGGCTGCAGCAACATCACCAACACCGGGCTCCTCCTCATTGCCTGGGGCCTGCAGCGCCTCAAGAGCCTCAACCTGCGCTCCTGCCGGCACCTCTCCGACGTGGGCATCGGGCACCTGGCGGGCATGACGCGCAGCGCGGCAGAGGGCTGTCTGGGCCTGGAGCAGCTCACGCTGCAGGACTGCCAAAAGCTCAGCGACCTCTCGCTAAAGCACCTGGCCCGCGGGCTGGGCCGCCTCCGCCAGCTCAACCTCAGCTTCTGTGGGGGCATCTCGGACGCGGGGCTGCTGCACCTGTCGCACATGAGCAGCCTGCGCAGCCTCAACCTGCGCTCTTGTGACAACATCAGTGACACGGGCATCATGCATCTGGCCATGGGCAGCCTGCGGCTGTCCGGCCTTGACGTCTCCTTCTGCGACAAGGTGGGGGACCAGAGCCTAGCCTACATCGCACAGGGCCTGGATGGGCTGCGCTCTCTCTCCCTCTGCTCCTGCCACATTAGCGATGAGGGCATCAACCGCATGGTGCGACAGATGCACGGGCTCCGCACCCTCAACATCGGCCAGTGCGTCCGCATCACTGACAAGGGCCTGGAGCTCATCGCCGAACACCTCAGCCAGCTCACGGGCATTGATCTCTATGGCTGCACCCGCATTACCAAGCGGGGCTTGGAGCGCATCACCCAGCTGCCCTGCCTCAAGGTGCTCAACCTGGGACTTTGGGAAATGACTGAGAGCGAGAAGGTCAGGTGAGAGCAGGGGGGTGCCCCGAGACCTCCATCTCTTCTGGAGGGACTCACTGACTGAGTGACTGACTGCTGCAATGGAGGAGAGAAAGAGAGAGAGGGGCACGCACAGAGCCATGCTACCCACGCACCCTGGCACCAGAGGAACGTAGAGAAAGAGAGTATATCCTCAGCCCTTCTGTGCTGCCTACCTACCCTTGCTCTGGAGGAGGAAGGGGGGGGGGGGGGGGGCAGGAGGAGAGAGAGAAAGCACCTATCCTTTTTCCAGGTCATGCCTCCAGCTCTACACTGGGGAGACAGAGCTCCCCCCCTCCCCCACAGCATCCTTCCCTGCAGAAGAGGTAGAATGCACTGGGGCTAGAGACACCCCTCTTTATCCCCACTCCCTGATTCCATCCCCTCGTGCACTAAGGATGGATAAAGAAAGATCCTTTTTCTGCCGTGTATTCAGAATAGATTATTTTTGGTTTATATAAAGGAGAGTGGGAATGGAGATGGGAACAACAACAGCAGGAAAGGCTTCCTAGCTACACTTATGTACTCAGCCACCCAGTCATCCTGCACTGGGCACAGACACAGCTTTTGGTAAAATAACCATTCCACCTCTGCGCTTGCCCCTCCCCTGTCAGCTGGGAATTGTAACAGAAATACTGCTCCCTAGGTACATTGAAATTTTTTTTTTTAATGATTATTATTTTTTGTTTTTCAAAAATCTGTTTTCAATCTCCAGTTCCATGTTATTCTCTGCTGTGGGTGGATACAACCTTCCACAATTCCAGTTCTCCACTGCACTGAGATTAGGCATAGCTATAGCCTCTCCTTTTGTCTGTATGTTTCTGTGTCACCCTGCACTATGGTTAATGGAAAAGCCTAGGCACTGCATTCTCTCTCCCCGTATCTCTCCTGGAGATGAAGATACCATATCCTCCTTCTCCTGTCTCTGTGGGGACTGGACATGGACTCCAGTTTCTTAAGCCTTCCCATGCACTGGGAGACACAGAGTCACCAGGCTCATTTTACCTTTCATCATCCTCTCTTTTTCTCCCCTCCTTTTTCTTGGCAACAGGGATAGACATATCCAACTACATATCCATTCCTCTTTGGGTTGGGGTGAGTGGGTAGAAGGGGTGGCTAGCTCCCCCTCTACCCAGGGGACATTAGGAAGAATCTCCAGCTTCATTTCTGCTTCATTTGAGATACTGTGATCTGTTTTTATTTTGAAATGCATAAAAAAAATTACAGATACAAAAACAGCCTCTTACTCTCCCATCTGTCCCTTGCTTATGTCCTGTAACTGATCCCAGTTTTCCTCACTCATTCTCCTCTTTACAGTATTCATTTTCTTACATGGTTTTATTTTTAAAGACATATGAAGTTGCTGTTCTTGTGGATTTTTAAGTACTTTTTTTTTCTGCTGAATATATTCTATATATATAAATATATATATGATGTCTGGCTACCTCGTTTTAATTTGTTACTTTCCCCCCCCCCCCTCTTCAAAAGCCCTGGAATTCTTACAGGAATGAGATTTTAAGACTGAAACATTTTTGTGCCTAGACTGGAATAATGCCCCTTGGGTTTGTTCTTCTATTTTACCCCCGCCCCCCCTTTTTTTATCTTTTTAATTCTTGTTTTAAGATCACCTTACTTTGTCCTACCTTCACATTCTGGTTGTGCCTCTCCTTCCCTCTTCACTGGGGACTGGGGACCCAAACTCTGCTTCTGCATTTTTACTCTTCTAGACAGACATACAACGTGTGAGAACCCATGCTGAGGATTGGGCTTCTGTTAACAGAAATGTGTAAGATGCAAGTTTGTTTGTTTGGGGTTTTTTTTAATAATTATATATAGAAATATATGCAAATGCTTTCCCCTCCCAAATCACCTACAAAAGGTCGCCATGCCAGGCTTCCTGTCTGTAGGTGGAGAGGAACAGAGCTGGCCTACAGGCCCTGAGGCTGCAGTGTGAAGGGGAGGAGACTGAAGTTCATCTGTCTTATCTCTGTTCTGTCAATAAAATGGAGCTGGGTTTGTTTTTTTTTTTCCATTATTATTTTAAAGCAGAAGAGTAAGTGCAGTTTTTCTGGTTTTTGTTTTTTTTTTAAAGAAAACTATCGGCTTTTTTTTTTTCCCCTCATGTGTTCAAAATCTCAAATCCTCCACAGTAATAGGCCAGACCATGGAGTTAACGCAAACCCAGAGACCCCTATGGATTAATTGTACTGTTTGTGAATTTGTATAAAGAAATAACAAAGATCCTCTTAAAACATTTTATATTCTTACAGTAAAAGGTTAAACATATTTATATAATAAAAGAGGAAATATGAAGTATGTTTTTGAAAAAAAAAAAAAAGCTTTATCTGTGTTGTCTGTGCTTTTTAAAGACATGTACCTATTATCTCTCTATCTGTTGGGTCTGGTAAGTATGCTGTGCAGCCTGGGCTTTGGTGCTGCTTGCTCTCTTTCCAGTGAGTGATGGAGGAGGAAAAGGAAGGGAGAGAGCCTGGTGCCTCCTGTGCAAGATGCTGAGAAACATCATCACAAAGAGTTTGTAAGGAAGGGGTTTGGTAGGACCAGACTTGTCTGCAAGGGCACTCGGAGCATCTGTGGGGAGAAGCAGAGTTCAGCTGCCCATTGGTGTGAAGCATCAGCTCAGTCTGAGGTCAGACAAACCACAAGTCCTGAAGCTCGCTAGCAACCGAATCAAGTACTCTGTGGCAGAGGGAGACGCTGGGGAAGGGGGAGACAGGCTGTGTATCTCAGTATTTTTAAAGCCCCAGGTAGGTAGCAAAGGGTTTTTTTGAGATTTAAATTGAGGCCCACCCTGGGTGGAAGACCCATCAAATAAAAACATTTCCCAGGAGTGACAGCCACCAAATACTCTGCCCTTGCCAGCACATGAGGACCTGGGAAATCCGAAATGTTTTCGGTTTCCACTGCCCAGGCACAGATTAAAGAGGAAGTGAAGTGGGAACATCTTTTAAAAAAAAAAAAAAAGTTTGAATCATTAAGGTGCCCTTTGTCCTATACCATAATCTTTCTCCTCAGTGTATGACTTTTAACCCAGTGGGCTCCTTTTTAGCCTTGCACGATGTGGGGTTCTTATTGTTGGAGATGGAGCTTAAGCAGTGTTTATAGGGCAGCGACAAAGCCTGTCTCCCCCAGCCCGGCGGCAGGGCTCCTTCAGCCCGCTGCCCCCTTCCTGCCTCCAAGGAGGCGGAATGCGAAATGGTGGAAGAAGCCGGAGCCATTGTTCAGGAAAGTTAAAAGAGGAGCTGTCCTTGCTTGCTTGCTCAGTCATGCATACTCAATCTGGCCGGGCCGGGTCCCTATGGAAAGGAGGAGGGCGATTCTTCCCCTCTTTTTAACATTCCTCTCCAGGCCTGGCTGTATTTAAGCTGCTTTCCTCCACGCCGAGGAGGAGGGAGGGGGATGGTCTGAAGTTCCTCTATATTTGCATTTTAAGCACTTCCAGCGCTGAGCAGGCGACTGTTCCCCCCGCGCTACCTTGCTCCAGCAGCACTCGCTGCGGTGCTGCTCCAGGTGGGTCGGATGCCCTACTAACGGAGGTCTGGTCCCCTCTGTGTCCCGGGGGCTTAGCCTCTGCTTCCACAGGTATTTTGGGTTGAGGCTGGACTGGGCATACTTCTTTGCTGCCAGCTCTAACTACCTCACCCCTTCTATGTCAGTGCCGCATTTGGAAAGGGGAAAACAGTGCCCAACTCCATCCCTCTTAAAAAGAAATGCTATCTCGTTCACAGCCCAAGGACCTGGACTATCTCAAGGTTTGGACTTCGGGGCGTGTGTTGGTTCCCCCTCCCCTTTTTTCCAAGACTTCCAGGCTTTCTGCTGGGAGTCCATCACAAAAGCTGCATTGTTTGCTATAGGGAAAGCCACCGCAATTGGATCTAATTGAGCCTGACGCTATATCCATCTTCCATTGCTTGGAGGGAGGTGTGGGGTCTGTCTTTACCGTGTCAAGAAAAAAGTAACTTCTTGACCTAAAAAGAGGATGTATATATGAATGTTATAAACAACAGGAATTCCAGATCAGGTTCTCATTACCGCTGAAAATGTAAATGTTCCTGGGGTAGGCCACAGTTACAGCCAGGGCTTGGGAATGATGAACCTCTCATAAGGTAGGTTCGTTTCTGCTGGATTTGAACAATAATGGCATCTCTTATTAAGCCTCATGTTCACATGGATAATGGTGGGACACCTATGTCTAAATATAATGTGTGTGCTCGTAAGTTCTGTAATCAGAAATAGGACAGGATTCCTCCCCACTCCCTGTTAAAAAATTGCCCAAATTACTCTCCATTTAAAAACAAGCCAAAAGCATTGCCCACATGGCCCAGCATACTCTTTAAGGGGAATCCAAGCCAAAGGAAGCTGCTGAAACCAAGGCCTCTCAGAATCTCAGTGTTAAGACACCCTGGACTGGTCCCACAGACGGAGCAAGTGCTCCTCATGCCTCCCTCTCATGCCCCAGCATGACAGCACCTCCTCCGGCACAGACACAGGCCTCCCTGTCCAGCAAGCCCAGGGCTGGGCAAACACATGTCTACTAGTAAAGAGAAGGGTTTTTTAAATAATCCATTGCCAACAGCCATAGACCAATTACCACGTGACTCCTCAGGGTAACAAGGAAACTCCATTTTCACTCTTCAGCCGCTCTTGAATTTTTGAACACGACTCAGTTGGCAACTGGGGTAGAAAACCATAACAAAACCCACTACTATTTGGAAGTGAGCTGGAAGTCTCCCATCTGTGTCAACAAGCCCGTGGTGCCCCAGCAGTGGCATTGGCGCCAGCCTTCACTGCTGCACCCAGCAACAGCATTTCCAGCCATGCCAGGTGGGACAGTACGGTCCTCTGCCTACAGCTACATGAGCCAGGACACAGAGGATGAACCAGGGACCTGCTTTATAGAGGGGTGGCTCTAGGGAGCAAAGGGGCCATGCTCAAGAGGTGGCAGCAGAAAGCAGAGCAGAGCAGGAGCAATTCAAAAGGGGGGGATGAAGGGACTTGGGCAGGACAGGAGGTGGCTGGAGACCAAGGGGCAGTGGCAGGGGACACCAGCTCACAAGCTGCAGCAAAGTCCTCTGTGTGTGTGCGGGTCCCTGATCTGCTGCAGCAGCTGCTCCCCTGGCCAGAACCGATGTCTGGCTCCTCTCCCTGGGCAATGGGAAGGAAAAGAAGGCTCCAGCTGCGTCCTACCGCCCTGGGACTAGCATACAGGAGGTCCCTGCATGGCAGATTTATACATTTTATACCTTGCCGCCCCATGCTGCGGGTCTGACTGAATCAGTTTGTCATGGTGATTCTGGGGTCCTTTGTTTCCCCGATAATAAATAACAGGGTCACGGGGCAGCTGTCATGCAAACCGCCTGGGGCCTGTGCTAGGACAAGAAGTGATCTCTGTGCTAGATACTACAGAGCTCACTACTGAACCTGCCCTTTGGAAGTCAGGGAAGAGTTAAAACGAGACCTGGGTGGCCAAGACACCAAAAGTTTTTAGAACCAAAGCTAGAGGTTAGCACAGGCTGCCATTAACAGCTCAAGGGTAGGTGTCCCTCACATCCTGCAGCCTCACCACGTACGTATATACGCAGGATGCTTCTAGCAAAGTTGACCCCTTTTTGTTTTCTCTCTCTCTCTCTCGCCCTCCTCTACCTTAAATCCCACTCTTTTAGCCAGCAGCTCTTTAACAGTGCCTTCTGTGGAGGAAAAAGATAATGGATAAACTCAGCTGGGTGGTGCGGGGTGGATGTGAGGACCCCTCAGGACAGTGGCGAGGCCCTATGCCAGAGCTGCTGGCTGGGCTGCATGACACTCCCTACCTCAGCCAGCCAGCAAGGCTGTCCTGCTCAATTCCCCAGCCCCAAGCTGCACGAAAGAAAGAGCTGGAGAGGGTTCATCGGGCTCCTATGCCAGAACTGAGACTCCAGCCACATTTGGCTGGAATGCTAGTGCTTCTCCCCCTTCTTTAATTAAATTTACCAAATGCATTAGCTCAATAGCAGCCCAAACTGAAATAGCACCATGGAGATTTTGGAAGATCCAAATCCCATCTGTCCTTGCAACAGAAAGATGAACGGAAATGGGATTTTCCTAAAATATTTCCTAAAATCTGAGGTGTGTTTTGGAAAGGGTGTCAAAAGTTTAATACCAGGGCCTGGACACATGCCCTGAGTATTTCCCCATGAGAGGGTTACTGAGACATAAACCAAACTATTCTGCTACAGAAACTAACTTGGGAAATGGGCAGTTCCTCCTAGTTATTTTCCTTCCTTTGAGCCTTGTGTCCTAGAGCACAACAGTTTAGTGATTTCAAGATGAAGCAATTTCCCCTCCCAGCTTTAAAAAAAAAACACAACAAATTTTATCTGAGGTTCATCCTCCTCCTCCCTCTCCTTCCCGTCTTTCTCTCCCAAAATGTCCCACCTTTACAACCCC